TCACAAAGGTCGTATCTCCATAGTCCTGGAGTGTATTATATATTTTTACTTAATGAACTTTATTGATAATTCCCTAAAACAGACAAAATACTGAAAATGATTGACTAAAAAACATACATCAAAACCAGAATAAAGTTAATAATAAAAAGTATAAGAAGAGAAAATATATGCCAGGCTCAAAATTAAGCTCCATCAGACACAAAATGCAGATATAAATATTGTATGTGTGGAAAAGTTTCCTCAAACTCACCCCTACCTTCCACTCACACTCTATTATTGGGTTTGGGTCCCCTTCTTTTGTGTTGTTCCCATAGCAACGCTACCTTCATCCCAGGACTTATCACACTTTGGAAGCTCATGCTTACTTGTCTATAGTCACCTTGAGTTTGGAAGCTTCCTAGGGGAAGGATCTGGGCAATCTTGTCCATCACTACATACCCAGTCACTTGTTGGGTTGAACTGAATTGAAACAAGTATCTTGAAAAAGCCTGAGTTTTATTATATACCAAATACGGACAATAAATTGGGGATGTAATGTAGTTCCCTCTGCCTCAAATACTTAAAAAATACACTTGCCCACAAAGATGGTATCAGACTAAAACGGCATATAGAATGAATTTCTTTCATAATACCTGGGTGGCACATGTGGGAATTTAAAAATGTTAATGACTCTATTTGTTTGATTAAATATTAACATTTATAGCTTTTCAACATAAAAGATTCCCACAGAGAACCTTATATTTAATACAAAGAATCAACATTTGGCTTTAGAAACAAAAAGTTGGTTTTTTGCCCCCGTTCATTTTCTTAAAATACTACATCCCTCAGGACAGGAATCTACCACACTGCAAGAGCATCTCAGCTCTGACGCAGCCTGAGTACACCTCAAACGATCCTTGAAGAACTGTCAATAACATTTACCTACAGTCAGGGGACAGGAATTCAACTGCTCCAAAACACTCCACCTACTATTACAGCGTGCTTACCTCCAGTACCACGTGCTATCTACTGCACTCACCGTACTCACACATCAAAAGAAAAAAGAACAATTGCTAGTTCTGATTACCTGGTTGGTGCTGTCGGGAAGAAAAGC